CCCAGGACCTGGGATAGGCAGATGTGGATGTTTGATGGTATTACAGATCTCGCCGCAGGATGGAAGCGGTTCCTAGTAAGGCCGCCTTTTGCAATTGACTAATGGCGAATTTGTCAATGCCAATGGTGTTCAAGTGGAGTGCAAGTTGTATTATTATTATTATTATTATTATTATCATCATCATCATCATCATCATCATCATCATCATTATTATTGACATTATTATCATTATTATTATCATCATTATGTAGACCGATCAGTCATCGCTCGGACAGTGGTGTAAAAAACCCGATGAAGCTTAGAAAGAAAAGAGCACTTAAAAACACAGCTAACAAAAAAACCCGATGCTTCGTTGTCCCCTTTATCTGGGGTGGGGGGCAGGGGAGGAAAGCAGCCAGCCCTTCAAGTTTTGCACCCTGGCAAAAAGCCACTCCTAATTTCCTACCTGAATGGATGAAATCACTCAGAAATAACAGTGTTGCTTTTACCGTTGTGTTGCTTTTTAAACCCTTTCCAAGGTCGGGCATTGTTACCCGTTTTATTTCTTGACCTTCGCCGTAAACGAAAGAAACAGGGCGTTGAGTTTCGTTTCTCTTGTTGGGCTCCGCTTTAGGAACCCCGCGGAAAGCCACGGCGGGGGCCTCGGCAAGCTCACAACAGATGCCAGAGATTGATTGTGTTGCTCCGATGTTTGATGAGGTACACACACCGGTCCAAGGGGAGAACAATTACTGTTAATCCTCGGTGGCCCCTCGGATGAGTCTGTTCCTTAATCTGCAGGGTCCAGGTGTAAAGCTTGACTCACTGTCACTAACCTTGACAACAGCCTCAATGAGATATTTTTAATCAAAGCCTCTTTTTTTTTTTTTTACAGGCAGCTGTCTTAGGAATAGTAAAATAATTATAATCATCATTTTCTTTTTTTTAAAAAAAAAAAAACTCTGCAAGAAACGTATGTTTTCACCTCCCTGGTTGCAACCTCTCAATTCGGAATGCACTTCTGTATATTATATTGACGCAATTTATTTCAGGCGGGGGTAAAATTCTGGGCAGAAATCGCTTCTTTTAATTCATCTCCCCCATTTCCTTTGTGGTTTTAATCATTAAAGGCTTTTTTTTAAAATAAATAAATAAATAAATAATGATGTAGCAGTGATTCATCTCCCCGGAAAAGGAGATTTTGTGTTTTAGACTGGACAATTCTATCTGGAATTGCATTTCGACTGTTTACATGTGGAACGGAGATAGGCGCTTTATCTTGGGAGAGGCAGGCAGCTTGAACCCAGAGCCAGAATGTCGTGTCATGTTCTCTAATAAATGGATCACCCCTATCGAAGTTCAGATTTCTTTCTCACTGAAAGAGACGGAGGGAGAAAGAAACTATATCGTCTTTGATGAAGGAATATATCAACTTGAGCCTCGCTGTGACTTCCCGTTTTGTTCATGTTTTGGGTAGTTCTAAAGTCGGGTTATATTTTAAAATAATATCCCTCCCATGTTCTACCAATTTACATTTTGCAGTAGAAATAGAGCTGGTTGGCAATGAAAGAATGTGGTGAATAGGAAACCGTGGACCAAAACGATACGGAACATTTTTAGAATGCTAATCTGTCTGCTTGGTAAAAGAGCATAAAACGGATGTCACTAATCTTCTGGTGAATAGTTAAACTCAAATCAATTAAACTCATGTCACACAGGCTGGCATAGACTTTGTCAATGTCTGCCAACAGCCCTTACAGCTTCCTAAGGATGACTTCCAAGTTGGGGTCTCCAACCTTGGGACCTTTAAAACTTGTGGACTTCAACTCCCAGAATTCCTCGGCCAATCGTATTGTTGTATATTTTGAAATAACAATAATAAAAAATAAAAAATAAACAGTTTTTAAAATGTCGTTTTCTAAATCAGCCGAGAGAAATAGCCCTGACCTTTACTCCTATGTGTGTCTTGGTAACCTGTTCCTAATCTGAATAGGAAAAATATCCAGCATTGTAAAAAGAGGGTAAAAATCATGCTTGTATAACTTATAAAATGTTTAACATAGTCAATGCATCTACATTCCTTAGCTAAACTGCCAGTTTCAGTGACATGAACTCAATATGGGCCAAATCTATAGATAGATAGATAGATAGATAGATAGATAGATAGATAGATAGATAGATAGATAGATAGATAGATAGATAGATAGATAGATAGATAGAT